TGATAAGAAAGGAAAACAGCCTTATTATTGATATGGAGAAAGTTTTAGTGGTCTGGATAGAAGATCAAATCAACCACAAAATTCCCTGAAGCCAAAGACTAATCCAAAGCAAGGTCCTAACTCTCTCCAGTTCCATGAAGGATGAGAGAAAAGTTTGAAACTAGAAGAGATTGTTTCATGAGGGTTAAGGAAAGAAGCCATCTCCATAACAAAGAAGTGCAAGGTGAAGTGTGATAAATGCTGATATAGAAGTTGCAGCAAGTTATCCAGAATATCTAGCTGAGATAATTGATAGAGGTAGCTACACTAAACAATAGATTTTCAACGTAGACAAACCAGTCTTCCATTGAAAGAAGATGTCATCTGGTATTCTTATAGCCAGAGAGGAGAAGTCAATGCCTGGCTTCAAAGCTTCGAAGGACAGGTTGACTCTTTTGTTAGAGATGAATGCTATTGGTGACTTGAAGTGGAAGCAAATGCTCATTTACCATTCCCCAAATCCTAGGACCCTTAAGAATTATGCTAAATCTATTCCGCCCGTGCTCTACAAATGGAATAACAAAGCCTGGATGACAGCACCTTTCTTTGCAGCATAGTTTACTGAAGATCTTAAGCCCACTGTTGAGACACCCACTGTTCAGAAGAAGAGATTCCTTTCAAAACATTACTGTGCATTGACAGTGCCCAAGAGCTCTAATGGAAACGTACAAAGAGATTAATGTTGTTATGCCTGCTAACACAACATCCATTCTACAGGCCATGGATCAAGGAGTATGTCTTGTGTCTCTGTGTCATATTGTGAAGTCATTATTAAGAAATACATTTCAGGCTGGGCATGGTGGCTCACGCCTATAATTCCAGCACTTTGGGAGGCTGAGTGGGTGGATCATGAAGTCAGAAGATCAAGACCATCCTGACTAACATGGTGAAATCCCATCTCTACTAAAAATACAAAAAGTTAGGTGTGGTGGTGGGCGCCTGTAGTCCCAGCTACTCGGGAGGCTGAGGCAGGAGAATGGCATGAACTTGGGAGGCAGAGCTTGCAGTGAGCCGAGATCACAAAAACTGCACTCTGGCCTGGGTGACAGAGCAAGACTCTGTCTCAAAAAAAAAAAAAAAAGAGAAATACATTTCACAAGACTACAACTGCCATGGATAGTAATTACTCTAATGCAAGTTTGTCCAACCCATGGCCCATGGGCTGCATGAGGCCTAGAATGGCTTTGAATGCAGTCCAACACAAATTTGTAAACTTTCTTAAAACATTATGAGTTTCTTGTGATTTTTTTTAAAGCTCATCAGCTATCGTTAGTGTTAGTGTATTTTATGTGTGGCCCATGACAATTTTTCTTCTTCCAATGTGGCCCAGAGAAGCCAAAGGCTTGGACACCCCTGCATAATGGATCTGGGTAAAGTAAACTGAAAACCCTCTGGAAGATTTATCATTCTAGATGCCATTAAAAACATTCATGATTCATGAGAGGAGGTCAAAATATCCATGTTAACAGGAGTTTGGAAGACGTTAATTCCAACCCTCATGGAGGACTTTGAGGAGTTCAAGACTTCAGTGGAGGGAGTCACTGCAGATGTGGCAGAAATAACAAGAGAACTAGAATTAGAAGTGGAACCTGAAGATATAACTGAATTGCTGCATTCTTGTGATAAAACTTAAACAGATGAGGAGGTACTTCTTATGGATGAGCTATGAAAGAAGGTGGTTTCTTGAGATGGAATCTACTCCTAGTGGAGATGCTGTGAACATTGTTGAAATGACAGCTAAGGATTTAGAATATTACATAAACTCAGTTGATAAAGCACAGTTTGAGAGAATTAAATTCAATTTTGAAAAAAGTTTTACTGTAGGTAAATACTATCCAACGGTATTACATGCCAAAGAGAAAATTTTCATGAAAAGTAGAGTCAATTAATGTGGAAAACTTTATTTTGTCTTATTTTAAGAAATTGCCAGAGACCCCTGACCCCCAACCTTCAGCAACCACCACTCTGATCAGTCAGCAGCCTTCCGTATCAACGTAAGACCCTCTACCAGCAAAAAGATTACAACTCACTGAAGGCTCAAATGATTATTAGCATTTTTTAGCAAAAATATATTTTCTCTTTCTTTTTTTGTAACTTAATATTCTTTGGTCTGCAAGTGAATAATGTATTTTAAATTGAGGTATATGTACATTGGTTTTTTTAAAGACAAAATGGTGTTGCACACTTAATTGTCTACAGTGTAATATAAAAGTAACTTTTGGCCGGGCGCGGTGGCTCAAGCCTGTAATCCCAGCACTTTGGGAGGCCGAGATGGGCGGATCACGAGGTCAGGAGATCGAGACCATCCTGGCTAACACGGTGAAACCCCGTCTCTACTAAGAAATACAAAAAATAGCCGGGCGAGGTGGCAGCGCCTGTAGTCCCAGCTACTCAGGAGGCTGAGGCCGGAGAATGGCGTGAACCCGGGAGGCGGAGCTTGCAGTGAGCTGAGATCTGGCCACTGCACTCCAGCCGGGCGACAGCGCGAGACTCCGTCTCAAAAAAAAAAAAAGTAACTTTTATATGCACTCAGAAACCAAAAAATTGGCTGCAACCATCTGGAATCAAACCTACAATATCTCCAAGGTGTGTCTATAAATAGAAAGACATGCCATGCTCAAGAACTGGAAGACACAATATTGTAAAAATGGCAATCCTACTAAAATAAAATAAAATGGCAATACTACTCAATCTATAGGTTTGATGCAATCCCTGTCAAAATTCTAATGTACTCTTTTTAAAGCCCCCAAAATTGACAAGCTGACACTAAAATTCATGTGAAATTGCAAGGGACTCAAAATAGCTAAAGCAAACTTGAAAAAGAAAAACAAATTTGGAGGGATTATGCTTCATAATTTCAAACTTACTACAAAGCTACAGTAATCAAAACATAGTAGTACTGGCATAAAAACAGGCATTTAGATTAATGGAATAGAATTGAGAGTCCAGTTATAAATTCTTACATTTATGGTCAAGTGTTTTTATGGCAAGGGTTCCAGGACAATTTAATGAAGAAAGATGAGTCTTTTCAACAAGTGGTTCTGAGAAAACTGATTAGCCACATGAAAAGAATAAAGTTGGACCCCTACTTCCCATTATATAGCACAATTAAGTATAAATGGACCCTAGGCCTAAATGTAAGAATAAAAACCATAAATCTCTTAGAAGAAAACATATGAGTGTTTTCATAACTTTGGATTAGGCAATGGTTTCTTAAATATGACACCAAAAGAACAAGTAATGAAATAATAGTTAAATGGAGATCATAAGACAATCTGTAGAATATACTTGCAAATCACATACCTTATAAGGGACTTTTACTCAGAATATATAAAGAACTCTTATAACTCATCAATAAAAAACCAAAACATCAAATTTTATAGAAAGGCAAAGGATTTAAATAGACATTTCTCTAAAGAAGACATACAAATGGTCAAGTAAGCAAATGAAAAGATGCTCAAGGTCTTAGTAAATGGGGAAATCCAAGTCAAAACCAAAATGAGATACTACTTTACTCCTACTAGAACAGCTAAAATAAAAAGGCAATAACAAGTGCTGACAAAAATGTGGAGACATTGGAACCCTCATACATCGCTGATGGGAATGTAAAAAGTGCAGTCACTTTGAAAAACAGTTTGGCAGTTCCTCAAAATGTAAAATATAAAGTTGCCATATAATCTGAGCAATCCAATTCCTAGGTATATAACCAAGAAAATTAAAAAATGTATGTCCTCATAAAAATCTATACCTAGGCCAGGCCTGCTGGCTTACGCCTGTAATCCCAGCACTTTGGGAGGCCGAGGTGGGCGGATCACGAGGTCAGGACATGGAGATCATCCTGGCTAATACGGTGAAACCCTGTCTCTACTGAAAATACAAAAAATTAGCCAGGCGTGATGGTATGCACCTGTAGTCCCAGCTACTCGGGAGGCTAAGACAGGAGAATTGCTTGAACCCGGGAGGCGGAGGTTGCAATGAGCTGAGATCACGTCATTGCACTCCAAGACGGGTGACAGAGCAAGACTGCATCTCAAACAAAACAAAACAAAACAAAACAAAACCCTATACATAAATGTTCATAGTGGCACTATTCCTAATGCCAAAAAGTAGAAACAAATGTGATGTATCCATATAATAAAATATTATCTAGCAATGAAATAATGAAGTACTGATACATGCTACAGCACAGCTAAATTTTGAGAATATTATGCTAAGGGAAAAAAGCCAGACACAAAAGGTCACCTGTTGTATGATTCCATTTATATAAAATGTCCAGAATAAGCAAATCTATAGAAACAGAAAGTAGATTAGTGGTTGCCAGGGACTGAGGGGAGGGAGAAAAAGTAAGTAACTGCTAATGGGTACGTTTCTTTTGAGAGTGAGTGATAAAAATGTTTTGGAATTAGATAGTGATGATGGTTGCACAATCTTGTGAATATACTAAAAGCCACTGAATTATATACTACAATCTGGTTTTTGTTTATTTGTTTGTTTGTTTTGAGACAGAGTCTCACTCTGTTGCCAGGCTGGAGTGCAGTGGCATGATCTCAGCTTACTGCAACCTCTGCCTTCAGAGTTCAAGCAATTCCCCTGCCTCAGCCTCCCAAGTAGCTGGGACTGTAGGCACGTGCCACCACACCCGGCTAGTTTTTTGTATTTTAGTAGAGATGGGGTTTCATCATATTGGCCAGGATGGTATTGATCTCCTGACCTTGTGATCCACCCACTTCTGCCTCCCACAGTGCTGTGGTTACAGGTGTGAGCCACCACACCCAGCCTGTGGTATGTTTTATATCACATTAATTATTTCTCAATAACCAAAAAACAAGAAATACAGAAAAAAGTACCGCTGAAAATTAAGAAATCCAGTAAGGGTTTGGTCATACATTGATTCACAAACAGGAAACAAGGAAAGGAGGAAAAAAGGAAAGTAAGGAAGATAAAGAGATAGGAAAGAGAAACTAGGGGGCAAGGGAGAAAGAAAGGGAGAAAGGGAGAAGGGAAAAAAGGAAGGAAGAAAGGGGCAGCCTGACATTAGCTGGTGGGAGTGATGACATGCCTCTGGCTTCTCTGTCATGCAGGCTTACCTCGACATTAGCAGGACAGCTCCCTTGCGGGGTGTGATAGAAGTACACCTGCTGGACAGCCACCATCAAAGCATTTTTCTGAGCAGCTTGACAAGCAAGAGTCACCTGCATATTTTCCACTCCTGAATGCAACAAGAGCTAAAGGAAGAAAATACGAAAAATATTAGGAATTTCTTGCATAAAGAAGTGAGTTGAGGGTTGAGATCACCACTTATTCAACATGTAAATATATGAATCAAACTGCCAAATGAGCTGGGATGCTTGCTACTCAGCCATAAGACTGAATCTGGTCTCTCCCTAAGCAGCATTTCATTCCAAGAAGGCAGCCTCCAGGCTTGATTTGCTCTATAGCTGGACACCATTAGATTTCCCCAATGGTCAGGAAAAGATGAATAGGCTCTGATGAACTAGCAAACATGTGCTCAGTGGCAGGCTCCTGTAAGCCAAGATTAGATCAATGTTTTAAAAATACACATACAGAAGCAAAGAAATCCAAGTAGCAGATAAAAAATAGCACCAGGTTTAGAAAGACCAGATAAAAGCTCCAATAACAAATGTATATTTTTAAAACCTTATGCAAAGATTGTTCACTACACGTGAACTTCTTTTTTAGTATCTAACAGAAGTTATTATAAGTGGTGTTGCAGTCTCTATGGTTCAAACCAGGCTGATGTGCACATCAAATAAGGCAAGGCCATCACTATGGTTTGAATGTGTCCCCCAAAAGTTTATGAAGGTGATTGAGCCATGAGATTAGAGCCCTCATGAATGGATTAATGTCATAATCGTGGGAGTGGATTTCTTTCCCAAGAGAGCAGGATGTTATAAAAGCAAGCTTGGCTTGCTCTTGTAGTCTCTTTTGCATGTAATCACTTGCCCTTCTGCTTTTCTGCCATGTTATGATGCAGTGCAAAAGCCCTTGCCAGAAGCTGCCACCATGTCCTTGGACTTTCCAGCCTCCAGAATCATGGACCAAATCAACGTCTTTTCTTTATAAATTACCCAGTCTCAGGCATTTTGTTATAGCAAGAGAAAATGGACTAAAACAACCATTATTATTATTTAAGAAATTGGAAGCTTTTCTTTTTTTTTTTTTTTTGAGATGGAGTCTCACTCTGTTGCCAGGCTGGAGTGCAGTGGCGCAGTCTTCATTCACTGCAACCTCCACCTCCTGGGTTCAAGCGATTCTCCTGCCTCAGCCTCCCAGGTAGCTGGGATTACAGGCACATGCCACCACCATGCCCGGCTAATTTATGTATTTGTAGTAGAGATGGGATTTCACCATGTTGGCCAGGCTGGTCTTGAACTCCTGACCTCGTGATCTACCCACCTTGGCCTTCCAAAGTACTGGGATTACAGGTGTGAGCCACCACGCCCGGCCCATGGAAGCTTTTCTTATATATGAAAGTTAAATTTATATAGAGTATTATGTCTTCTGAAAGAAATACGTGAGCAAATTGCTTTATTCTACTTTCATTTGTTTTAAAAAAATAAATCGTTTACCTTAAGAATGGCTTCCTTTGTGTAAAAACTAAATTTGCCAATTTGGTTATCATCCACCTCAGAGATGGCTAAGACAAGAGCAGTAGGAGAATATCTGCAACAAAAAATATGAAATTGTTTTGATGTGATATGCAACTAATCAAGAGACACCATTATGATGGAACAGGATGTCATGTGATCAGATCTGAAATGTCAGTAATAATAGCAAATGCAACTTTTATACAAAACTTGATATTTCTACTGAAAGCTATAAGAGATCTCGGATCTTTTCTGTCCTTTTTGAACTTGATCTTTCTGTAGTTTGATTATGGTGACCACCCCATAGTGTTGGAAATTATTTTCTCTTGATCACCATTACACTACTCTCTCCCGTTTTTCCTCTTTTTTTTTTTTTTTTTTTTTTAAGCAAAATGTTTTTATTTATTTGAAGTACATATGTAGTTAACTGGGCATCAAAGGTGTACCAAGTGATTTTTTTTCTTTTTTTTGGAGTCAGAATCTTACTCTGTCACCCAGACTGAATGGCAGTGGTACAATTATAGCTCACTGCAGCTTTGAACACCTGAGCTCAAGCAACTGTCCCACCTCAGCCTACTGAGTAGCTGGGACTACAGACATGCACCACCACACGTGGCTCTTCTCACCTTCTTGACCATACTTGTTTAGGATCCTTCACTGACTCACTCCTTTGAGCACCCCCTAAATGTTGTCCAATTCTCTATCTTTCCTATGGTTCCAATAGCTATCTAAATATTCTTTGTAGCCATGTTTCCACCTTGAGACTCAGTACTTTGTCCATAACTATGAGACTTTGTCAAGTAACTGAATATCTATCAATCTTTCTTTCTTCATCTGTAAAGGGGGTATCACCTATCTCATAGGGTTATGGCAAATATTAAGAAGGATAATATGCATGAATGTGCTTTTTAAAATGTAAGTCACTATACTCATATTTGATCCAGTTGACCTTCCATATCTATGGGTTCTGCATCCATGGATTCAACCAATTACAGATAAAAAATATTTGAAAACATAAAACAATAAAAAGTAACAATACAAAAATAAAAATAATGCAAATAAAAACAATGTAGTATAACGACTATTTACATAGCATTTAAATTATATTAGATATAATTATAAGTAATCTAAAGATGATTTAAAGCATAAGGAAGGGAGTGCATAGGTTTTATGCAAATACTATGCCATTTTATATAAGGAACTTGTGCATCCTTGGATTTTGGTACCTGAGGGGATTTTGGAACTGATCCCCCACAGACACTAAGGGATGACTATGTATGTTGTTGTTATAATGGCTCTCCAAAGTGGCAACTTTAAGGAATTAACATACATAAAATAAATACGAATTCAGTACACAAGTTCTTTGGATATATAAGCTTTCCCCTGGTAACGAAAAAGGCTCTCTTATCTTGCAGCATCTCTAGGTCATCACCTGGAGGACCAATCACAGACCAGAGCATCGGCCAGACCATAGGGCATTTGGGCAGTTTATGCTGATTGGTGCATTCTGACTGAACAAAAATGTGGTGCCCTATTTTCACAGCAATATAAAACACCAACCAAGGAGGCCCTTGAAGGACCAGAGAACAGCTTGGCTCCAGACAGGTTTTTTTTTTTTTTGCCAGTTGGAGACCTAGCGTCGCCTAAGGCCTGATCATACTTCCTGCCTTGGCTTCTGTGAATATCTCTGTATCCTTACAATAAATTCAGTTTTTGGCTTAGCTAGTGTGACAGGATAGAGCAGGGGCAGGTTTTGCCCCCAGGAGATATTTGGCAATGTCTGGGGACGTCTTTGATTATAGAAGAGTGTGTATGGGGTGGGGTACTGGGATACTACTGGCATCTGGTGGGTAGAAGTCAGAAATGTTGCTAATCAATCTAAGACACACAGGACAGTCCCCCACAACAAAGATGTCTTCAGTCCCAAAGTTTAGTAGTGCTAAAATTGAGGAATCCTGGGATATTGTATTCTATCATCCTAACCCCCTCATTCTACCCCTGCTCTGTGGAGTCATTTAGGATATTAACACTCAGAGTTCTATTTTGAGCAGAGATCTGCATTAGCAAAACAAAGGTGCTGGTTGCCTCCTTGGAGTCACCTTTTTCCTTCCTTGGCATGGAGCCAGTACCAGGAATCTCCAGGGATAGAGGTGGGACCCTGTGGGGAAAAGCAGATAGCAGAGAAAGAAAGAAGAGGGAGACAGCAGTTTCTCCTCCCCACACATCAAAGGTTAATTGTGTGAGGACAAAAGAAAGATTCCTTCCCCTGACTGAGCAGACTCACCATCTATTACTAGTAAGGGTATTTTCTTTCAAGCAATGGGTTGAACCTATGGGGCATGAGAGAGAAGTTTCACTGGTTTGCATTGGCTTCCATCACTAGCTAACAAAGGAGGCTGCCTGAGATACTGCCTGCATGTTATATTTGTACCTTGTGTTATCCTTTCAAGGAAACAGCTGCTCTGAAAACTTAAGTGACATCTTCCTGGTCTGAAGGAAAGAGAGAGATGAGACCTGGACTTCTGATCCATGGCTCTCACCCCATTAGACCCATGCTGACTCCCTTTTCTACCTGGCAGCAACATATTCTACCTGGGAAGCAGCTGAGCCTGTGATTTCATCTCACCTGAGTTCTCTGGTTCTTTCATTTCTCAATTACTTGGTGTTTTTAAATGCAATTGTCCCCCTTAAATGAGATCTTACTTTCTCCCTCTTATTAAAAAAAGAAAGAAGAAAAAAACTGGCATCATGGCAGATAGACTATAAGAGAGAACTTAGAAATGTGATTGTTCTTGCATGTCAAATGGTGACAAAAATTATTTTTCACAGGTTATTCACTCAGCCATCATGTTATTTTTACCTCAACACTCTCAAGGCTCACCTGTCTACCCGACCACTGTCCTCCAGCAGAGAGGTTATAAAGACAGGAGGTGGCTGGTCTGCCCTGTCCCTGTGTGATGCAAATTCAAAGTGAACAGGCCTCAGATACAAATGGAACTCTTCAAAACCCATCTCCCATGCCAATTCTTTATACAGCCTAAAAGAAAAAAAGAGCCAAGGACGTATGTTAGTGTTTTCTCCTAAAAACAAAGCGAGTAATAAGAAAATGAAGACACCTGAACAAAAACCAAAGTAAAAGTCCAATAAAAGCCCAGGTCTGTGTGAAGTGAGGGAGTCACAGAGGTCTTCTGCTCTGCACTTGCTGTGACCGTTACAGATGGTAGAAAGCAGTTCAAGGAGGAGATGTGCTTGGGTGTTTACTCGACTCTCATTTTCCACAAGCTGACTTCTGTCCCCAGAGCCCTCATGAGGTCACCGTTGCTGAAATGCGACATTCACCATCTTCTCTCAGAGTTCATCACAGTTGGCCTCTCTGTCCCCTCCTCGAGGATCATCTTTCTCCATGTTCCTGCCTCATGACCGCTCTCTCTCAGTCTTCACTGGCTTCTCCTCTTGCTTATCTTCAAATGTTGGTGTTTCCTGAGGTTCTGAATCTGGTTCTCTTCTCATCTACCACATTCCCTCCTTAGGGGTTTGTGGGGGAGTCTGTTCAGCTCCACATCCTAAGACTACTGCTTCATGTAACAATCTGTGACCCTTGTCTGTGTCCTGACTTAACTCTGAGCTCCAGTCCCAAGTCTGTCGAAGCATGGCTCCAGTTAGATGTTTCTCTGGCATCTCAGCCTTACATGTTGACAATTCTCTCCTCCTTCCTTAACACTCTCCTCCTCCTCCTCCCCACCCCTTCTCCTCCTCCTCCCCCTTTCTCCTCCTCCTCCCCCTTCCTCTCCTCCTCCTTCTCCTTCTTCTTCTTCTCTTCCTTCTTCTTTTCTACTTCTTTTCTTCTTCCTTCTTTCTTCTTCTTCTTCCTCTTCCTCTTCCTCCTCCTCCTTTCCTCCTCCTTCTTTGTCTTTTATTTTTAGAGATAGAGGTCTTGCTTTATTGCCCAGGCTGGAGTGCAGTGGTGCAGTCATAGCTCACTGCAGTCTCAAACTCCTGGGCTCAAGCAATACTCCCACCTCAGCTTCCCAAGTAGCTGGAACAGGCATGAACCACCAGGCTCAACTAATGTTTAAAAAATTTTTGTAGAAATGAGGTCTTGCTGTGTTGCCCATGCTGGTCTCAAACACCTGGCCTCTGGTGATTCTCCTATCCTGGCTTCCCAAAGTACTGTGATTTCAGGCGTGAGCCATAGTGCATGTTCCCCAACATCCCACTTCTAATGCATCTCTCCATCTTGAGAAGTTGGCATTGAAGGCTGAGTTCTTGGCACCTGTATTAGTTTGCTAGGGCTGCTGTAACAAAGTACCCTGGAAACAGACAAAATACTAAACAACAGAAATGTATTGTCTCACAGTTCTAGAGGATAGAAGTCTGAAATCAAGGTATCAACAACTGGTTCCTCCTGAGGGCCGTAAGGGAAGGATCTGGTCCTGGTCTTTCTCCTGGGCTCGTCGATGACCATGTTCTCCCTGTGCCTTCACATGATCTCCCTCTGTGCCTGTGTCTGAACTTCCTCTTCTTATAAGGACACCGGTCATATTGGATTAAGGCCCACTCTAATAACTTCCATTTAACTCGATTACCTCTGTAAAGACCTGTCTCCAAATAAGGCCACATTCGGAGGTACTGGGGATTAGGCCTTGAACATATGAATTTTGGAGGGACATAATTCAACCCGTAGCAGCCCCTCTTCCATGAAGCTTCCCTGACCACTTAGGAAGAATGAAATACTCTCTTTTCTGTACTCCCCTAGTATTTTGTACATATCAGTAGAATATCATTGTTACCATGTGTCATGGGTAATTTTTACATTATGGGCTTCCTGCCACCAAGGATCATAAATTATGAAGTGATGTTAATAATATCTTGACTGATAATTTAAATTCTGCCTTCACTACTTTCTAGTTATATGCTCTTAGGCAAATTAACTTTTCTGAGCCTCTACTTCCTTGCTGATAAAATGTTTGTAACCCTCCTCATAAGGATATTCTGAGAATTAAATGAAATAATATACATAAAATCCCCAGTAAAGACCCTGGCCACAGCAGGCCCTTGATAATGGTTGTGGTAGGTGACTGGACTCTCTATATCTACAGGGCCTTTTGTGGGGACCAGAACATAACAGCACTCATACATATTTACAACAAACCCTTTAGCTCCATATTGTTACTGCTTGTAGGACATGTCCACTTGGTGTCTTACCATCATCTCACCCTCATACCTAAAACATAACTCATTAATTTCTCTCTCCTGCCCTCTAAGCCCACCGTACCACTGTCTGACCTGGATGCTGTCACTGACTCATCTCTCTCTCATCTCTAGGCTCTTTCTATTCAACTTCATTACATTCAGGAGCAAATTCAACCAGTATTCCCTGAGTGCCTGGTGTGGTTCAGGCCCCATACCAGGTGATGGGATGTCACGGTAAAGAATGTGGATAGGGCTTTTGCATTTAGGGAGCTTATGCTAGCAGAACAGTCAATAAACCAATATTAAGCAATGAATTAAAAGGAAATATGCTGAATGGAGGGGAAACCCAGGTGCCAGTAGAAGGGCTTAGCCTGGTTGAGTGATCAGAGAGGCATTTGGGAAGGCTTGGAAGACAGAAGGAACAAGGGAGCTGTTGCAGGAAGTCAGGGACCCTGAACAGAGGGACTGGCTGAAGACATGGCAGAAGAACATAAATTGTGAAGATTTCATGGAAGTTCCCCAAATTAATACTTTTATAATTTCTTACGCCTGTCTTTACTGCAATCTCTGAACACAAATTGTGAAGATTTCGTGGACACTTATCACTTCCTCAACCAATACTCTTGTGATTTCCTATGCCTATCTTTGCTTTAATCTCTTAATCCCTTCATCTTCATAAGCTGGACCTTGTGATAATTGCATTAACTGCACAAATTGTTTAAACAATATGAAATCTGGGCACCTTGAAAAAAGAACAGGATAACAGCAATGGAGATAACCTTAAAGTCTGGCTGCCTGTGGGCCAGGCAGAACACAGCCATATTTCTGTTCTTTCAAAAGCAAATAGGAGAAATATTGTGGAATTCTTTTTCTTAGCAAGGAACATCCCTGAGAAAGAGAATGCATTCCTAAGGGGAGGCCTCTGAAATGGCCGCTTTGGGAACGTCTGTCTTTTACAGTTGTAGATAAGGGATGAAATAAACCCTGGTCTCCTGTAGTGCTCCCAGGCTTATTAGGATGAGGAAATTCCCGCCTAATAAATTTTGGTCAGGTTGGTTGTCTGCTCTCAAACCCTGTTTCCTGATTAAATGTTATCAATGACAAAGTGTGCCCAAAACTTCATTAGCAATTTTAATTTTGCCCTGGTCCTGTGATCTCGCCCTGCCTCCATTTGCCTTGTGATCTTTTATTACCTGGTGAAGCATGTGATCTCTGTGACCCACACCCTATTCGTGCACTCCCTCCCTTTTTGAAAATCACTAATAAAAACTTGCTGGTTTTGCGGCTTGGGGGACATCACGGAACCTGCCTACATGTGATGTCTCCCCTGGACACCCAGCTTTAAAATTTCTCTTTTTTGTACTCTTTCCCTTTATTTCTCAGACCAGCCAACACTTAAGGAAAATAGAAAAGGACCCACGTTGAATATTGGGGGTGGGTTTCCCCCGATAGGGAGCAAGGTGATCATGTTAGCCATTTAGAAAACTGTCTGGCTGCTCTGGGAGCAGAGAGGGGGTAGGCTTGTAGCAGGGAGTCTCATGGCCTGTTTTCCCCCATGTTTTGCTGCAAACCGTATATTCCACCTGGGCCTCCGACCTCCACTGACCGAGCTAAGTGTGCACTCTCCAGGCTCATTTCTATCAGCCGGTGGCGGAGGGTCAAGAGTTCCAGAAGTTTGGAAAACATCTCCAAGAGTAGCACATGAGAGTCTTGGCCTTGTTTCCGTCCTTCATCTGCTGCAGACTTGAATGCCAGCAGGCCTATCTCCCCCACGAGAAAGGGATCTCCCATAACTTTAGCTGAAAACAGCTGAAAGAAAACAAAATATCCTTTAAAACATAGAAGAATTTTCACATTAAAAAAATACACTGTCTGTCAGTGGCACAAACTCTGGATCCAGATTTCCTAGGCTCAAGTCCTAACTTTGCCATTGAGAAGCTGTGAGATTTTGGCAATGTACTCAATTTTGCTGTCTCTCAATTTTCTCATCTATAAAGTGGTGATAAGGATAATAACAGTCCTTACTGCATGCAAATAGATACTAACTTCCTAATAGGGCTCTTGAGAGGGTTAAAAGGATTAACATATGGAAAAGTATCTGCTGTTATCATTATTATAAATGTTATGAGTCTAAATAAACAAATCTCTAGATATTCACTGTGGGGATACTTGTCTATGCCAAAGACAAACTAAATAGAAATAGAAGTCCCTGATTTTTGAAAGTATTTTGGTGGCCAATAACAATTTTTTTTTTTTTGAGACGGAATCTGCTCGGTCACCCAGGCTGGAATGCAATGGAGCGGTCTTGGCTCACTGCAACCTCGGAGCGTCTTGGCTCACTGCAACCTCTGCCTCCAAGTTTAAGCAATTCTCCTGCCTCAGCCCTCCTGAGTAGCTGGGACTACAGGCGTGTGCCACCACGTCCGGGCAATTTTTTGTTATTTTAGTAGAGATGGGGTTTCACCATGTTAGCCAGGATGGTCTCGATCTCATGACCTCTGTGATCCACCCGCCTTGGCCTCCCAAAGTGCTGGGATTACAGGCATGAGCCAGCGTGCCCCACCAACAATTTTTTTTTTTTTTTTTGCGTATACCTCTCTAATTACCAGTTTCAAATTCAAAGTATTTTTACATATATTAACTCGTTTTTATTTTCACAAGATCCCCATGAAATAGGAGTCACAGGTATCATTATTCCCCTTTGTCAGTGAGGGATCTGAAGCAACATGAAACTTTCCAAGGTCACACAGCAGTACCAGAGAGTACTTGGGCTTCCTTAATTCCAAGTTCAGCTGTTTTACAGTACACAAACTGCCTTTCCAGCATTCCTTCACTCAGAGCTGGCCCTGGGGTGATTGTGGAGTAACCACACTGTCCTTTAACACCCTGATGCCTTGGGTGGGTACCTCTTGCTGTAACATCTTTGCTGTCTTCGAATATACCACTCCCAGCACCACCTAGTCTGGAGACCCCCTGCTCTCTGGTTTGGCTCCCCAGGATACATAAGCTCCTTTGTCTATCCACTTATCTACCAAAAGACTGGGCTACTCAGGATGCAATTTCTAGGCTCTTTCAAGGTTTTCCAAAGTGGTAACAAAGAGGACCTATTAAATAAATTCCTGCATGCCTTCTGCAGGGCATTTTCTGACCTAAATATAAAATATTAACTGAACATACTTATAGGTATAAATTGGACAGATTTCAAAAAAAATATAAAAAGCTTGTGTGCTGGCAAGGCAGATGGGAGATGACAGGTATCCCAGTTTATTCACTATAATTGTTATAAAATAATTTCAAAATACATCTTTTTTTTTTTTTTTTTTTTTTGAGATGGAGTCTCACTCTGTCACCCAGGCTGGAATGCAGTGGCACGATCTCAACTCACTGCAAGCTCCGCGCTCCTGGGTTCACACCATTCTCCTGGCTCAGCCTCCTGAGTAGCTGGGACACAGGCCCCGCCCACCCCATGCTGGCT